TTTTTTTTTTTTTTTTGAGACAGGAGTCTTGCTCTGTTGCACAGGCTGATCTCAAACTCCCAGTCTTAAATGATCCTCACAGTGCTGGGATTGCAGGAGTGAGCTGCTGTGCCCAGCCCATCTTCTATATTCTTGTTCCACGTCTGGAATCAGTCATTTCTCCAAGGTTCCCTGATTCCTCGTAGTGAAAAATGGTATTTAGAAGCCATTATCTGGGCCAGGCACAGTAGCTGACGCCTGCAATCCCAGCACTTTGGGAGGCCGAGGCAGGTGGATGATTTGAGGTCAGGAGTTCAAGACCAGCCTTACCAACATGGCGAAACCCCATCTCCACTAAAAATACAAAAGTGAGCCGGGTTTGGTGGCGCACGCCTGTGACTGCAGCTGCTTGGAAGGGTGAGACAGGAGAAATCACTTGAACCCGAGAGGTGGAGATTGTAGTGAGCTGAGATCGTGCCACTGTGCTCCAGCCTGGGCAACAGAGCAAGACTCTGTCTCAAAAAAAAAAAAAAAAAACAAAAAAGGGGGAGCTGTTATCTGGTTATAAGGTATTCATTGCTTGTAGGTTGTTTTTGTTGGTAGGACATTCCAGTGAACAGACCTAGAAAATACATGCTTTTTAGAAAGAATAAAAGAATTTATTGCCAAGTGTGGTGGTGCATGCCTGTAGTCCCAGGTAGTTGGAAGGCTGAGACAGGACAGCTCGAGCCCAGGAGTTCCGGGCTGCAGTGCACTGTGCCAATGGGGTGTCCACACTAAGTCTGGCACCAATATGGTGACCTCCCTGGAGCAGGGGACAACCAGGTTGCCTAAGGAGGGGTGAACCAGCCCAGGTCAGAAATGGATCAGGTCAAAACTCCTGTGCTGATCAGTAACGGGACCATGCCTGTGAATAGCCACTGCACTCCAGCCTGGGCAACATAACGAGGTTCTGTCCCTAAAAAAAAAAAAAAAAAAAAAAAAAAGACTTTATATATTTATACTGATATTCCTAAATTTATGATTACAGGGTTTTTAATCTAGCTTTGTCCATTTTTTTTTTTCTTTTTTGAGACAGGGTCTTGTTTTGTCACCCAGGCTGGAAGGCAGTGATATAACCACGGCTCACGGCAGCCTTCACCTCCCTAGCTCAAGCAATCCTCCCACCTCAGCCTCCTGAGGAGCTGGGACCACAGGCATGGACCACCATGTCTGGCTAAATTTTTATTTTTTGTAGAGATGAGGTCTCACGATATTACCCAGGCTGGTCTCAAACTCCTGGACTCCAGTGATCCTCCCACCTCAGCCTCCCAAAGTGCTGGGATTAAAGGTGTCAGCCATGAAGCCCGGCCTGATTTTTAAATTTGGATCTCTGTTTTTTATGCTGAAAATCTTGTTAGTAAGGACATGAACATCATTATGTGTGCACATATAGTAGTAGAGGATAGTAATTGCACACACACACAATTTCAAAATAACAATACCAATATAATTATTAAGAGGATTCCTAAGTACTGTTTAAGATTCCTTGGAACTTCTTCTTGTCCTTAGGATACACCGCACCAGGTAGGTAGATGAAAACTACTGTGTCTAAAATAACATGAAAAAATCCTTCAGTGTTTCTGCCACCAGCCCTAAGTACAATTGTTCAGTTGTTCCGCTATATTTTTATGTTGAAACATAACTCGCATTTTATGTTTCAGGAATGCTTTTTTCCTTACTTACTTAATTTTGTTTTGCAATTACACAAAGCTTAATGTTCCAAAGTCAAAACTACCAAACAGGGTACATCCAGAAAACTCTACCTTCCCACCCCACCCTCAGCACCCTTCCCCTGCCTTCTCTTTTTAGGAAACCATTTTAAGTTATTTTTTATTTCTTTCTCCCTTGTTTGTGCTTGAAAACATAAACAAATACTTAACTATTTTCGTATTTCTAACTCTTCTTATGCCATCTGTAAAACTGCTTTATGCAGGCTTAAAAACGTAGCCTACAGTCCAAGCGCAGTGGCTCATGCCTGCAATCCCAGCACCTTGGGAGGCCAAAGTGTGCAGATCATGAGGTCAGGAGTTCGAGACCAGCATGGCCAACATGGCAAAACCCTGTCTCTACTAAAATTACAAAAATTAGCCAGGGCGTTGGTGGCATGCACCTGTAATCCCAGCTACTCAGGAGGCTGAGACAGAAGAATCACTTGAGCCTGGGAGGCAGAGGTTGCAGTGAGCTGAGATTGCGCCACTGCACTCCAGCCTGGGTGACAGAGCGAGACTCCACCTCAAAAAAAAAAAAATGTAGCCTAGAGATGATTCCCTATGCAGTTCTCTGCTGTGTGAATAGCCCTGGTTTAGTCAACCAATCCCCAGCTGATGGACATTTGCAGTGTTTCCTGTATTTTCCTGTAAATAAGGTCAGCATGAATGGCTTTTTTGCAAGTCTCTTTCTTTTTTTTTTTTTTTTTTTTTGAGATGGAGTCTCGCTCTGTCGCCAGGCTGGAGTACAGTGGCACGATCTTGGCTCACTGCAACCTCTGCCTCCCAGGTTCAAGCGATTCTCCTGCCTCAGCCTCCTGAGTAGCTGGCATTACAGGTGCCTGCCATCATGCCCGGCTATTTTTTTGTATTTTTAGTAGAGACAGGGTTTCACCATGTTGGCCAGGATGGCCTCAATCTCCTGACCTCATGATCCACCTGCCTCGGCCTCCCAAAGTGCTGGGATTATAGGCGTGAGCCACCGCGCCCGGTCACAAATCTCTCTTAAAGATAGACTTTCAGGGGTGGGAGGGCTGAATCCCTGAGCGCAGGTGAGTGTAATCCCATGTTCATCTTCATTTCCTTGTCTCCCTCCCCACAGGAATATAAGTAAGCTCTTTGGCTGTACGGTCCACTCTTGCATCTCTCATTCATTATAGACTCGCGTTATCTGGCGGAAAGAATGAATCTCGCCACGTCATTCCCCTGCAGTCTCTGCCATCACCCACAGGGTAAAATCCGAAACCCTTTAGTGGCACAGAAGATACTAGTGATGGCCTGACCTCCCCTGGCCACACCCCCGCTTTCCGTGCCAGCATCCTTGAACTTGGTCCTCTGACCACGCCAAAGCACTTCCACTTCCCTGGGTGTCTTTCCGTCAGCAGCTACACTCTCGGGTTACAATAACCCCGCCCCTCTCTGACTTGATTCCCCAGGTGAACTCTTTTTCAGCCTTCAAAACCTAGGCCAAGCACCTGGATTTTAAACGTAGGCGTTCCCTCCACCGTACGGAGATACGATGATTGCTTATTTCAGTGTCTGTCCTGCTCACCAGACTGGAGCTGTAGGAGTGTGGGAGCTGTCCTCACCCATCTCTGGAACCCCCAGCAGTTAGTGCTATGTCAGGCTCAGAGCAGGTGCACAAGAAAACTTGTTGAGAAAATGAAAGGGAGGCTTCCTATAGTTAAAAGAATGTGGATACAAAAGACCTGAGTTGAAGTCCTGGCTTTTCATCTGCCACCTAGGAGATCTCGGGCAAGTCGACATCTTGGTTTGCTTTCTGTAAACTGGGGATAATGCAAGTTCACTGAGGGTGGCCGTTGGGGCTGAGGGCAGTCACGTGTGGTGGAAGTGCTTAGGATATCATAAATAATGACATGGAAAAATAAAGGTGGTAACAAGAGCAGCAGGAATTCAGAAGAGCCAGAGCGATCTCAATCAGAGGCGAGGAGAAAGCTAGCACGTGGGTAAGGAAGGGGCATCGATGAAGGGAATGCATAAGTGACCAAGAAAAATAGTAGCAGCCAGGTGTGGTGGCTCACGCCTATAATTCCAGCACCTTGGTAGACCAAGGTAGGAAGATTGCTTGAGCCCAGGAGGCTGAGACTACCATGAAGCTAGGATCACTACTGCACTCCAGCCTGGGCAACAGAGCTAGACCCTGTCTCAAAAAACTAAAACTAAAAATAAAAAATATTGGTCACTCTTCTGGGTACTTCTCAGTGTTATTTAATGAAGCCACAGCCCTATGAGCCCTGTGGGGTCATGTTATCATCCCACATAACTAACGGGATGCCTGAACCTGGGTCTGGTAACAAGGCCCAGGCACTATTTGACCAACAAGGTGGTTTGCAGTGAGGTCCCCTCTCTTCCTTCCTTCTGTCCTGGGAGCCCTTCTTCTTTCTCATCTCCTGTTTCTCTTTGACTAACAGCCCCTGCTCCAAACTCCCCCACTGATAAATTCTCAATGTAAGAATATCTTCCTAGACCAGGGGTAGTAGCTCATGCCTGTAATCCCAACACTTTGGGAGGCCAAGGCAGGAGGATCGCCTGAGATTAGGAGTTTGAGACCAGCCTGGCCAACATGGTGAAACCCCATCTCTACTAAAAATACAAAAATTAGCTGGACGTGGTGGTGCACGCCTGTAATCCCAACTACTCAGGAGGCTGAGGCAGGAGAATTGCTTGAACCCAGGAGGCAGAGGTTGCAGTAAGATTGTACCACTGGATTCCAGCCTGGGCAACAAAGCGAGACTCTGTCTCAAAGGAGAAAAAAAAAGGCTGGGTGCAGTGGCTCACGCCTGTAATCCCAGCACTTTGGGAGGCTGAGGTGGGCAGATCACAAGATCAAGAGATCAAGACCATCCTGGGCAACATGGTGAAACCCCATCTCTACTAAAAATACAAAAAATTAGCTGGGCGTGGTGGTGCGCACCTGTAGTCCTAGCTACTCGGGGAGGCTGAGACAGGAGAATTGCTTGAACCCAGGAGGTGGAGGTTGCAGTGAGCCGAGATAGTGCCACTGCACTCCAGCCTGGCAACAGAGTGAGACTCCATCTCAAAAAAATAAACAACAGCAACAAAAAACACCTCTCTCCTTTTTATTAATCTTATTAATTTATTAATCTTTATTAATCCCTCCCACCTTGATCTCTATGCCTTCACCTGTGTGTGGTGTTGGAGGGGGGGAAGTGGGGAGGGAGTGGGGGGGGAGAAGGGGGGCAGTGGGGGGTGGCAGGACAAAAGAAGGGATATTTGAAGTGATACAAAATAATAGAAATTTTTTAATGACAAATTCCCAAAATTATTTTATTACGTCTAATGCTAAAGGAAAGGTCAGGCTGGTTTATAATTTAGACAGGTCAACATATATGATTTGATGGGAGAATAGTTAGGGTTCTATTTCCTTTAACTTTCTATTCCAATCAATTTCCACTGGTGATGTCTAACTCAGATCCCTTCTCGTGAACTGAAGCCATCTCACTTCCTGTCCAGGATGATAGCATCTCACTTCCTGTCCAGGATGACAGTTTCCCCTCTTTTAATCAGAAGCTCAACAGCTGCCCCAGGGGGAGCAGCCTGTTTCAGACACACATGGTTTCTTAGACAGGGCAGGGTGTGGCTGCAGGGGACAGGCGCCTCTTCTGGTTAGGTCAGACTTCAAGCTAGTTAATATTGAATATTCCTCTTAGCTTTCCTCAGTTCAATGCTCTTCTTAAGTACTCAAGAATTTCCTCAATCTTATGTAGGTAAAACTGGAATTCGGAGCCTAGAGTATATTCTGTGAAAAGAAGAGTTAGTTGGAAATGGTTAAACCTTGTTCAGTCCTCACAAAAACAGAGAAGGGGGACGGCCAGTTACCATACCCACATCGTATTTTTGGGAAGTCTTTTGATTCCTTAGAATGCTCTCCATGTGCCCAGTACATTGTCTTTATGCGTCTTCACTGTGTTTGAACTCAGGCTTCTAGGCTGCCGGGAGCCAAGGGGTGGCGTGTTGATGTGAGCTTTACTCTTGGATTTTGTTTTCTCCCGTGATGCCTGGTGGCCCTTGCCTGAGGGGATATAGTATAGAGGTGTTTTCTAGTAAATAAATTGCAAGAGGTCCATATTTGGCCATCGTCTTGTTTTTGTAGCTGACCTTTGGTTTCTCAGTTCATGCCTTGTGGACGGGTGAATCCTATCAACCCTGCTGGGGTACAGTTCTCTACAGGGCAGTGCAACACCATGAGTCATGGTGTTGACCAGAGCCAATCACCGCTACATAGAAATCTGGGCCTGGCCAGGCGCGATGGGTCATGCCGGGTAATCTCAGCACTTTGGGAGGCTGAAGTGGGTGGATTGCTTGAGCTCAGGAGTGCGAGACCAGCCTGGGCCACATGGCCAAACCCCATCTCTACAAAAAAATACAAAAATTAGCTGGGTGTGGTGGTACATGCTACTCCCAGCTACTTGGGAGGCTGAGGTAGGAGGACTGCTTGAGCCCTGGAGGTCGTGGCTGCAGTGATTCAAGATCGAGCCATTGTACTCCAGTCTGGGCAACAGAGCAAAACTCTGCTAAAAAAAAGAAAAAGAAAGAGGGAGAGAAAGGAAGGAAGGAAGGAAGGAAGGAAGGAAGGAAGGAAGGAAGGAAGGAAGGAAGGAAGGAAGGGAAGGAAGAAAGGAAGGAGGAGGGAAGGGAAGGAAAGGAGGGAGGAAGGGAGGGAGGGAGGGAGGGAGGGAGGGAGGAAGGAAGGAAAGGAAGGAAAAGAGAAAGAAGAGAGAGAGAAAGAAAGAGAGAGAAAGAAAAGAGAACAAGAAAAGAAAAGAAAAGAAAGAAAAGAGAGAAAGAAAAGAAAAGAAAGAGATCTGGAGTCTGAGGGGAAGGTGGGCCAAGATGATGCCCAGTTCTCTGTTCTATAATGAGCAAAGGGAGGCCACAATTCCAATTCAGGTTCCCTGGGGGTAAGGAAGCCCTCTGATGCTGAACTGGGAGTTGAAGTAATAAATCCTGAACAGCGATTCTCAGTGGACCTACAGACAAATCACCACATGGAGTACCTCAGTCTGGGGCCGGTACCTAGAACATCTGAGCCCCCTCGTGAGGAGACGCTAGAGTGACCCTGTAATGGGGAAAGCATTTCAGATGTGGCATATAGAAAGATACACAGTCTGTTGGTGCCTATTGCCAGAATAGCGTAAAATTGTTTTAGGGAAAGCAGGGGAAACGTGGCAACATTTAGAACAAGAAGACAGGCCAGGCACAGTGACTCACACCTGTAATCCCAGCACTTTGGGAGGCAGGGCAGGCAGATCACCTGAGGTCAGGAGTTCAAGACCAGCCGAACCAACATGGTGAAACCCTATCTCTACTAAAAATACAAAAATCAGCCTGGTGTAGGGGGGCGCATGCCTATAATTCCAGCTACTCAGGAGGCTGAGGCAGGAGAATCGCTTGAATCCGGGACACACAGGTTACAGTGAGCCCATGAGATTGTGCCACTGCACTCCAGCCTGGGCGACAGAGTGAGAGACTCCAAAAGAATTAGGAGACAGATGCATGAGTCTAAGCTCCCTTTGGTCAGCCTGCTTGCAGTTGGACCTGTTAAAGACGACATTGCCTTTGGAAAAAAGAATTCTCGCTGTTAATGTTGTATATAGTACAGTATGGAGAAACGATCACTATAGCTGATGTCAGTTTTTTCCTCTGCTAGTATTGTATTGGAGGAGTGAACTGTATTGGAGGAGTGAACTGTATTGGAGGTAGATTGTATTGGAGGAGTGGGTGATGGAGAATTGAATTGTATTGGAGGGAGTGAATTGTATTGGAGGAGTGAACTGTGATGGAGGGTGATTGTATTGGAGGTAGATTGTGGAGGAGTAAGATTGTATTGGAGGGAGTGGGTGTATTGGAGGTAGACTGTGTGGAGGGAGTGAATTGTATTGGAGGAGTAGACATGGTGATTGTATTGGGAGGAGTGAACTGTATTGGAGGAGTGAACTGTATTGGAGGAGTGAATTGTATTGGAGGAGTGAATTGTATTGGAGGAGTGAACTGTATTGGAGGGTGATTGTATTGGAGGAGGTGAATTGTATTGGAGGAGTGAACTGTATTGGAGGAGTGAACATATTGGAGGAGTAGATTGTATTTGGAGGAGTGAATTGTATTGGAGGAGTGAACTGTATTGGAGGGGTAGATTATTATTGGAGGAGTGAATTGTATTGTGGAGGAGTGAACTGTATTGGAGGAGTGGTGTATTGGAGGGTAAGATTGTATTGGAGGAGTGAACTGTGTTGGAGGAAACAATATAGAAAACACCTATATCCTATTAATTCAATAAGTGAACCAGGAAGGAAGGTGGGGAGAAAATCACAAATAGGCGAGTGAATTGTATTGGAGGAGTGAATTGTATTGGAGGAGTGAACTGTGTTGGAGGAAACAATATAGAAAACACCTATATCCCCTGTTAATTCAATAAGTGAACCAGGAAGGAAAGGTGGGGAGAAAATCACAAATAGGCCTTATTGGGGTGGGGGGTGGAAATTTAAGTTTTTTTTGTTTTTGAGATGGAGTCTTGCTCTGTCGCCCAGGCTGGAGTGCAGTGGCGTCATCTCAGCTCACTGCAGCTCCGCCTCCTGGGTTCACGCCATTCTCCTGCCTCAGCCTCCCAAGTAGCTGGGACTACAGGCGCCCGCCACCTCGCCCAGCTAATATATTTAGTAGAGACGGGGTTTCACCATGTTAGCCAGGATGGTCTTGATCTCCTGACCTCGTGATCTGCCCGTCTCGGCCTCCCAAAGTGCTGGGATTACAAGCGTGAGCCACCATGCCTGGCGGAAATTTAAGTTTTAAAAGGTATATATAAAGGTGGGATAAGGCTGAATGAGGTGGCTCGTGCCTATAATCCCAGCACTTTGGGAGGCTGAGTGGGGAGGATTGCTTGAGGCCAGGGGTTTGAGACCAGGCTGAGCAACATAGTAAGATTTCATCTCTACAAAAAATACAATAAAAATTAGCTAGCTGTGGTGGTGTGTGCCTGCAGTCTCCACTACTGGGGAGGCAGAGGTGGGAGGATCGCTTGAGCCTGGACGGTTGAGGCTGCAGTGAGCTGTGATTGTGCCACTAAGCACCAGCCTGGGTAACAGAGTGAGACCTTGTCTCAAAAAAGAAAAAAAAAAAAAGTGGGATAATATTGAGTAAACCATATTGATAGGATACTGATTCTAGTGTATTGGAAAATATAAAAGTATCAGGAATGGTTAACAGAATGGGCTGTAAAGACAATGGATTCACCACAACTTCACAGAAAGCAGACAAAATAAAAATGAGGAGGCTGTGAAATATTTACATTCTTGCCAACACAGAAACGAGGTGAGCCAAGGACACAGTTGGAGCCTGATCCAAGGAATTGGAGGCTGCAGCAGAGGCTGGCCTGCACCTGCTTCCAGCACGCTGGGGTCTGGGGCCTGCGCCCCAGGCAGATGCCGTGAACAATATGTGGTCTAGTTAACTCCACCTTGAGAGAACGTATAGGAGGCGTTGGGGGTGGGTTCATAACACAGACTATGATCAAGCTGTGCAGGAAATAATCTCAGTGGGGTTAATAAGGTTAACTTGGCCAGGTGCAGTGGCTCACGCCTGTAATCCCAGGACTTTGGGAGGCCAAGGTGGGCACATCACTTGAGGTCAGGAGTTTGAGACTAGCCTGGCCAACATGGAAAAACCCCATTTCTGTTAAAAAAAAAAAAAAAAAAAGCTGGGTGTGGTGGCAGGTGCTTGTAATCCCAGCTACTCGGGAGGCTGAGGCAGGAGAATCACTTGAACCCAGGAGGCGGAGGTTGTAGTGAGACGAGATTGTACCACTGCACTCCGGTCTGGGTGACGGAGTGAGACTCTGTCTCAAAAAAAAAAAAAAAAAAAAAAGGGTTAACTTGAACCTACACTCTTATGAGAGCTTCTGTATGTTGTGGTGTTGTGGTCTTTTTGCTTCTCCTGCTATCTCTAGCCAAGACTATGTAGGTAATAAATCACGTAGCTGTCTCTCCTGATTGTCTCTTGTGTTCTACTCACTGGCATCCCTGCCTGGACTGGGAAAAAGTGATCACCCTCTGCCCAAGCCCGGTGCAGCTTGGCCCACCTGAGCCTCCTGCTACTGAAATGACTCTCCTTCCCTTACTATTGCCAGAAGAGATGGGTCCACCTAGAGGAAGGAGCAAAACAGGAGTTAAACTGCAGAACATGATCAAGAATCGATCTCACTCACCCTGATTCGGGAAGTTGGATTCCACTACTCTGTGGTTCAGAGGCTGGGTCCTGCGGTAATCGTTTTGGATGGTCTTGTTGTGGTGATCCAGTAAGGAATTCTCCAGCTTCCAAACCTGGGGGCAACATGAGTGCATTATGGAGGGGAAGAGGCACTGGGTAATTTAAAAGAAATAACAATTGGCCAGGCGAGGTGGCTCATGCCTGTAATCCTAGCACTTTGGGAGGCCGAGACGGGTGGATCGTGAGATCAGGAGATGGAGACCATCCTGGCTAACACGGTGAAACCCCATCTCTATTAATAATACAAAAAAGTCAGCCAGGCGTGGTGGCGGGTGCCTGTGGTCCCAGCTGCTGGCGAGGCTGAGGCAGGAGAATGGTGTAAACCTGGGAGGCGGAGCTTGCAGTGAGCCAAGATGGCACCACTGCACTCCAGCCTGGGCAATAGAGCAAAACTCTGTCTCAAAAAAAAAAAAGAAATAACAATTGGCTGGGCACAGTGGCTCACACCTGTAATCCCAACACTTTGGGAGGCCAGGGTGGGTGGATCACTTGAGCTCAAGAGTTAGAGACCAGCCTGGCCAACATGGTGAAACCCCTTCTCTACTAAAAATACCAAAATTAGCTGATCGTGGTCTTGTGCACCTGTAATCCCAGCTACTCAGGAGGCTGAGGCAGGAGAATCACTTGAACCTGGGAGGCAGAGGCTGCAGTAAGCCAATATCACGCAACCGCACTCCGGCCTGGGAGACAGAGCGGAACTCTGTCTCAAAAAAAAAAGAAAAAGAATTAACAACTGGGCTAGAGCTCGGATTTATATAACCCTGATGAAGCAACTGTAAGAAGATCTCAAGTCCAGGGGAGGTTCTGGGTGCTGTGTGTCAGGCATTATTCCAGAACTAATCTATCCGTGCATTCTTCCAACAGAATCTCTCTTTTCAGCTTTTTATATGAGTATTTGTCCAATAGTAGAAAGGACAGAAAGAAGTAAGCAGAAATATATCAAGTAGCAAATTCAATTTTTGTTTTTCTGAAAATATCGAGGTTTTTTTGTTTGTTCGTTTGTTTGTTTTTGAGATGGAGTCTCGCTCTGTCGCCAGGCTGGAGTGCAGTGACACAATCTCAACTTGCTGCAACCTCCACCTCCCAGGTTCAAGTTATTCTCTCCTGCCTCAGCCTCCTGACTAGCTGGGACTACAGGCACCCGCCACCACACCCAGATAATTTTTATATTTTTAGTAGAGATGGGGTTTCACCATGTTGGCCAGGCTGGTCTCAAACTCCTCAGGCCATTCGCCCTCCTCAGTCTCCCGTCGTGCTGGAATTACAGGTGTGAGCCACCGCACCTGGCCTGAAAATGTCTGTATTTTGTCTATATCCTTGAAAGGCATTTTTGCTGCACATACAATTCTATATTGGCTATTTTTTTTCCTCAGCACTTTGAAATTATGTTTCCACTCCCTTCTGACTTTCACTGTCGCTATGTTGAATCAACTCTCTGTCTAATAAGACTCTTCATGATAATCTGTCTTTTCTTTCTGGCTAATTTTTAAATTATTTCTTTGTCTTTGATGATTTCACTGTGATGTGTTTAGTGCAGGATGCTGTGTACACAAACACACACATATATATACACACCTGGAGAGAGAGAGACAGAGAAACTAATTGGCATTCTTGAATATATGACTTGGTATCTCTTCCTGAAAATTGTCAGTCAACATTTTGTCAAATCATGACTCTTCCCTATTCTGCCTCTCTTCTCCTTCTAGGATTTCGATTAGACATTTACTAGACCTTTCTAGTACACTATATCTCTTCACTTCTTTTCATAGTTCCTTCTCTTTTTCTCTGTGCTGCATTCTGGATGATGTTATTGGCTGTCTCCAATTTACTAATTCTCTCAAACTGTATCTAACATGCTGTTAAATCCATTCATTGAGTTGTTTTTTGTTTTTGTATTTTTGTTTTTTTGAGATGGAGTCTCACCCTGTCACCCAGGCTGGAGTGCAATGGCGTGATCTCAGCTCACTGCAACCTCTGCCTCCTGGGTTCAAGCGATTCTCCTGCCTCAGCCTCCTGAGTAGCTGGGATTATAGGCTCGCGCCACTGCACCCAGCTGATTTTTTGTATCTTTAGTAGAGACAGGGTTTCACCATGTTGGCCAGGCTGGTCTCGAACCCCTGACCTCATGATCAGCCCGCTTTGGCCTCCCCAAGTGCTGGGATTACAGGCGTTGAGTCACCATGCCTGGCCAATTTTTTGTTGTTTTGTTTTTGTTTTTGTTTTTGTTTTGAGACAGGGTTTTGCTCTGTTGCCCAGGCTGGAGTGCAGTGGTGCGATCTCGGCTCACTGCAAACTCCACCTCCTGGGTTCAAGTGATTCTTCCACCTCAGCCTCCCGGGTAGCTGGGATTACAGGTGCCCACCACCACGACTGGATAATTTTTTGTACTTTTAGTAGAGATGGGGTTCTACCATGTTGGCCAGGCTGATCTCAAACTCCTGACCTCAGGTGATCCACCTACTTTAGCCTCCCAAAGTGCTGGGATTATAGGCATGAGCCACCGCGAGTGACCTGGATTATTAATTTTTGATACTATTTTTCCATTTCTAGAAATTCTATTTGTGTTTTTGTACCAAGTCTGGATGTCCATTTTTAGACTTTTTTGTTTTTTGCTCATAAACCTCTTTTTTATTTATATATATTAAACATTCTTATGTCCTATTAATTGTCTGATAATTCCACTAAGTGAAATTTTTGTAGGTCTGATTCTGCTGGTTCTCATTTATAATGTCTTTTTTTCTCATATGTTTTGTATTTTTTTTCTTAATTGAGCTAATTTCAGGTAACTTGCTTTGTGAAAATTCTTCTAGGTCTGGATTTAAGCTCATTTTTTCCAGAGATAATTTACCATTTGCTTTTATCAGGTGTCTGGGGGCACTTCCAGCCTGACTGGCAACATTTTGGGGTGTGGGTGTCCTTGAGCAGGGGTCTCTTCCACCTTTCTCTAAGAAAATGAAAAGTTTAAGAAACGGAGATGGCCAGGCGAAGTGGCTCACACCTGTAATCCCAGCACTCTGGGAGGCTAAGACAGGCAGATTGCTTGAACCCGGGAGTTTGAGACCTGCCTGGGCAACATGGTAAAACTCTGTCCCTACGAAAAACAAAAACTAGCCGGGCGTGGTGGTGCATGCCTGTAGTCCCAGCTACTTGGGAGTCTGAGGCAGGAGAATTACTTGAACCTGGGAGGCGGAGATTGCAGTGAGCCAAGACTGTGCCACGGCACTCCAGCCCGGGTGACAAAGTGAGACTCTATCTCAAAAAAAAAAAAAAAAAAAAAAAGGTTGGATAGATGAGGCACAGTAGCCCTGCACACAGAAAATACCGTAGGACCCCCCAGTTGTTGACGTTCGTTGAGATGCTGGGGAGCACCCTTGTTAACCAGGCAGTCAAATGGGAAAGGCTTCGGCAAAGCAATGCCATACGTTACCTGTGTCCTGGAGAGCTTGACAAAATCCGCCAGCACAAACCAGTGGACGTTCTCGGTACAGGGAGGCGTGGTGAGTGAGCCGTGGTAGCTGTAGTAGTGCTGGAGGTTCTTGGGCAGCATGTCCCGAATGTCAAGGCCAGTCAGGGTTGTTGTTTGTCCTGACCAAGAAGACAGAAGGTAACAGAATGTCAGGGACCACCGCTGCCCCTCAGGAGGACAGCTCAGGCCCAGGCCTCTCCAGGTTCCAATCTCTCGAGTTCAGCAGAATATAGAAGCTGATGATTAGGAAACAATTTCCCAGTTTACTTCTCCCTGGAAGGGATTGAGGGGAGAGACTTTGGGGATAGACGCACTCAGACACCTCCTCCTGGCTGAGTGCTCTTGGCTGCATGCTCGCTCTGCGGCCGTTTTCTCATCTGTGGAATAGTCAGCAGGATTGCTGTGAGGGTAAGGAGGTAACGTCTGGAAAGCAGCTGGCATTGAACCACTACATAGGGAAGAACTCCTAAGTGTAACTGTTGTGGTCACCATTATCATGGCTAGGCAGAGGACACATTTTATGGTCAATGAAAGAAATAAATATGGCCCCTGGAGACTTCTGGGTAAGTGCCCTCGAAGAAAGACCAAAATGCCTTGGTTTGGGCTCATTGAGAAGTGGGTAGACAGCAGTTGTAAATGCAGAATCAGGCCAGGTACAGTGGCTCACGCCTGGAATCTCAACACTCTGGGAGGCCAAGGCGGGGAGGATTGCTTGGGGCCAAGAGTTCAAGACCAACCTGGGCAACACAGGGAGGCCCCGTCTCTACAATAAGTTTAAAAAAAATTTTTTTTTTTTTAATAATAAATGCAGAATCAGAACCAAGCCAGGGTCCAAGTGTAGGCATTTGGTCCTGAGCTCCTCCTGCCACGCCCGCTGGGAACCAAGCCCAGCCACAGGTGGGGCGTAGGGAGGGACCACTCCCACCAGGGCCTGCAAAGCTCCTACAGGAGCCACATCTGCTCCTGCTCCAGAGAGGCCCTTGTGCCATTCATGTCAACAACGCTGAGCCCCTGAGCTCAGCACGAGACTCTCGAGGCAACACAGGATTGAGCTGGGCTTTGCTTCACTTTCCCCGAGCGCTTTTGCGCTTCTTAAAGGCAGAGAATATAGTTTTGAGACATACGTAGATAGGCCTGTTCGACCAGGGCCACGATGTCTCAGGGTGCCATGAGTAGGCAAAAGAGTTCTAAGTTTTATCATTATTGGAAGATTTCAAGACATAACCTCCAAGAGGACTCTGTGGTAGAGATTTATTTTTGTAACTGTAACATATTTAAGTGAAAGCCAAGAATTCCAGAATCATGATGCAGCCACTATAGAAAATAGTATAATGGTTCCTCAAAACATAAACATACGGCCAGGTGTGGTAGCTCACACCTGTAATCCCAGCACTCTGGGAGGCCAAGGTGGGCGGATCACTCGAGGTCAGGAATTAGAGAACAGCCTAGCCAACATGGTGAAATCCCATCTCTACTGAAAATACAAAAATTAGCTGAGCATGGTGGCACGTGCCTGTAATCCCAGCTACTTGGGAGGCTGAGGCAGGAGGAGTGCTTGAACTTGGGAGGCGGAGGTTGCAGTGAACCGAGATCGAGCCACTGCACTCCCACCTCAGAGAGACTCTGTCTCAAAAAACAAAACAAACAAACAAACAAAATTTTTAAAAACATAGGTTCCCACATGACTCAGCAATTCAACTCCTATCTACCCAAAAGAAATGAAAGCAGGAACTCAAAGAGATACTTGTACACCCATATTCATATTCATTGCAGCGTCACCTCGCTAAAAGGTGGAAGCTACCCAAATGCTCATCAGTAGATAAATGGATAAACAAAATATCATACTCCCTGCAGCTTTTTTTTTTTTTTTTTTTTTTTTGAGGCAGAGTCTCGCTCTGTCCCCCAGACTGGAGTGCAGTGGCGCAATCTCAGCTCACTGCAACCTCCGCCTCCTGGGTTCAAGCAATTCTCCTGCCTCAGCCTCCTGAGTAGCTGGGATTACAGACACCTGCCATAACACCCGGCTAATTTTTGTATTTTTAGTAGAGATGGGGTTTCACCATGTTGGCCAGGCTGGTCTCAAACTCCTGACCTCAAGTGCTCCGCCAGCCTTAGCCTCCCAAAGCACTGGGATTACAGGTGTGTGCCACCTCGCCCATTCCTTAAAAAGGAATGAAATTCTGATAACATGCTATAATGTGGGCAAACCTAAAAGACATTATGCTAAGTGAAATAATCCAGACCAAAAAAAAAAAAAAAAAGACAAATATGATTCTACTTATATGAGGTATCTAGAATAGTCAGATTCTTAGAGACAGAAACTGTGGTTACCAGAAGCTGGAAGGGGAGATGGGGAGTTACTGTTGAACGGGTACAGAGTTTCAGTTTAGGAAGACGAAAAAAGTTCCGGCAATGGAGAGGTGTGATGGTTGCACCACAATGTGAATGTACTTAATGCTACTGAACTGTACATTTAAAATGGTTTAAGTTGTAAATTTGTTGTTGTTGTTGTTGTTGTTTGAGATGTTGTCTGATTCTGTCACCCAGGCTGGAGTGCAATGGCACAATCTCAGCTTGCTGCAAACTCCACCTCCCGGGTTCGAGCGATTCTCCTGCCTCAGCCTCCCGAGTAGCTGGGATTACAGGCATCCGCCACCACGCCTGGCTAATTTTTATATTTTTAGTAGAGACGGGGTTTCACCATGTTGGCCAGACTGGTCTCAAACTCCTGACCTCAGGTGATGGGCCCGCCTCAGCCTCCCAAAGTGCTGGGAGGTGTGAGCCACTGCTCCCGGCCTTAAGTGGTAAGTTTTAATTCAGGCTGTGGGACTGCGTGGAGTCACTGAGATGAGACAGAGCCTGACTCCACCCAACGCTTAGAGCAGGAGCCAGAGAGTGAGAGGGCGGAGCTGGGGTGCGCTGGGGTGGGCGGAGCTTAGTTTACCTTTGAAGGTAAACTAAGACAAGAGAAGAAGAGTGGCCCATAGATCTGCCCACCACTCCGGCTCGGTGGAGCAGGGGCAGCTCAGGGTGGGGTGGGTGAGAAAGGAGAACAGGACTATTCTATGACCTTTTCAAGGGGAGCCAGAGAACTGGGGGGCAGCTGGGGAATGGTAAGGTCAGGAGATACGTTTGTTTGCTTGTGTTTGGAGGTGGGAGGAATTAGGGCAGATGTGTGTGCTGAACAGTAGGCTTTAATAAAGAGTAAGACATCAACGATGCAGGCCGGGCGCGGTGGCTCGCGCCTGTAATCCCAGCACTTTGGGAGGCTGAGGTGGGCAGATCACGAGGTCAGGAGATCGAGATCATCCTGGCCAACATGGTGAAACCCTGTCTCTACTAAAATACAAAAAATTAGCCAGGCGTGGTAGTGTGTGCCTGTAATCCCAGCTACTCAGGAGGCTGAGGCAGGGGAATCACTTGAACCTGGGAGGCGGAGGTTGCAGTGAGCTGAGATCGTGCCACTGCACTCCAGCTTGGTGACAGAGCAAGACTCCATCTCAAAAAAGAAAAAAGAGAAATCAGTGATGCAGAAGAGAGGGGAGAGAATGGCAGGAAAGGAGGCCCTGAGTGTGGAAGAGGAGTGGGGTTGGGGCCCACGTGGGAGGGGTGGTGTTGACAAGAGGAGGGATTTGTCATCCATTGCAGCTGAAAAAGGGACGTGGAATTTGGTCCAGATGTACATGAGTTAAGGAGCGGAGTGTTTCTGCCCCGTGGCTTCTGCCTTCTCAATGGAGTGGGAGTGGGAGCATCAGCTCCAGGGGAGTCGCTGGAGCCCGGGCACAGGGGCTTCAGGAGAGAGGAGAAAGCGTGTGGCAAGAATTTAGGAGGTCAGAAAGAAAATGCCCAGGGTGGTACTTTAGGATTTCTGGGCACTGTTCATATTTGTAGCTATAAATAAAAAAATAATACTAGTTGGCCAGGTGTGGTGGCTCATGCCTATAATCCCAAAACTCTGGGAAGTTGAGGCAGGTGGATCACTTGAGCCTAGGAGTTGAAGACCAGCCTGAGAACATGGTGAGACCCTGTCTCTACTAAAAATACAAAAAACCAGCCAAGCATGGTGGTGCACCTGTAGTCCCCACTACTCAGGAGGCTGAGGTGGGAGGATCAACTGAGCCCCAGAGGTCGAGGCTGCACTGTGTCATGATCGCACCACTGCACCCCAGCCTGCACGACAGAGCGAGACCATGTCTCAAAAATAATAGCGATAATAATGCCAGTTAGATGTCTATGGATTCCTGTCCAACTGCATTCAGCTCTTTGGCTGCCAGCTCTGAGTTGGTCTGGAGCTTTGCCAGGTGAGTTTGTGGAGGGGTGGAGGAGTGAGGGCATAGAGGGTGTTTGCATGGGAGTGTTGAGGGAGACTTGAGAGTGCTGGGGTGGAATCTAAGCTGGGAGAGAGATGAAAGAACACAGGCGTCACTAGGAGCGAGAATGTGGAAGCCCCAGGTTTGGAGGACTCGGGTCAGGTGAGTTGCAGGAGGGGCTGGGTGCTGAAGTCAGAGGACTGGGAGGCTGGGAGGTGTGGGCGGAATGGGACATGTGAAGTCGAGAATGCAGAGCTGATGTGGTTATAGCTCAAAGTCAAGGGTTGACCTTGGGTGGGAGATGGCTCAGAGGCAGAGGGGACGGAAGAACACCCCGAGTGTCTGTATGTCCAAGTGGGATGACGAGGGCCTCCCTCTTGACATTCATCTCAGCCTGGAGCCAGGTGGACATCTCTCTAGCTGCCAGGACTGTCACTGCCAGCTGAGGTGACAGTCATCGAAGCGAGGATATCCCCACTTAGTGCAACCCCAGCCAGAAGTTCCAATCATAGGAAGTGACACATCGAATTTATGCACAGCCTTGTCAGAGAGGTTTGCTGCCTAAGCCAACAGCAGAAATCACTGGAACAAGTAATCTGGCACAGGGAGGGGTGGACTCCCTTGGCAGGGCCCACTGGCCACCCTCCCCACCAGCATCAATCCCCTGTGCCCTGGGCATACCTCACACTCACACTCATTCCCTTTCCCTCCTGCAGCCACAGTTGGCTTCCCTTACCTGGGTACTTGATGTTGGCCAGATGAGAAATGAAGCTGCTGTAGTAAGTGTTTTCAGGGTAATCCTTCACCTGCAACGAAGCGCAGAGCACTGAGCGTAAGTGAAGAAGAGGCCCCAGCACCATCTCTACTCATCCAGCCGCTCAGCTTTCTAGCTGATTGGGCCGAGCCTAGAGAGTAAGGAGAGGCAGCCTGTGCCCTGTTGTGTTTTGGCAGAGACAGTCTGACTGTTCTTTGCTACCAACCACACAGGTTCAGGAGTCCCTCCAGAAAGGCACTATCTTAAGTATTTTGGCAGCTTCCAGGGAAAGAAGCTTCTCAGTCATTGGTGATGCCCTCAGAAATGGCCAACACTTACTCTAAAATAGTCCCCTGCATGCTTGTTTTTGTTTGTTTGTTTGTGGGTTTTTTGTTTGTTTGTTTGTTTGATTTTTGAGAGGGAGTCTTTCTCTCTTGCCCAGGCTGGAGTGCAGTGGGGTGATTTCAGCTCACTGCAACCTCCGCCTTCCGGGTTCAGGCTATTCTCCTGCCTCAGCCTCCTGAGTAGCTGGGATTACAGGTGCTCATCACCACGCCTGGCTAATTTTTTTGTATTTTTAGTAGAGATGGGGTTTCACCATGTTGGCCAGGCTGGTCTGGAACTCCTGACCTCGTGATCTGCCCACCTCAGCCTCCCAAAGTGCTGGGATTACAGGTGTGAGCCACCATACCCAGCCTGTGTGCTTGTTTTGGGCAGTGTCAGCCACAGTCAGATTCTTTGTGATGAGGAGGGCTTGATCTCACAAGCTCCCTTCTTCATCCTCAGGACTTCTGACAGAGAGCCAGATGTCCAAGGCAGAACGACTACAATTCCCCCAACACCAGATCACTCTTTCTGAATGAGTATTGGCTTTAAAAGTCAGAAAAGTTGCTTTGGGTGAAAAAGGTCTATTTTCAATGGTTCTTTTCTATTGAAATGGTCTATTTTCATGTGGTTGATCTCTTTCACTGTGCATTAATTTGGCTTTCTTGGCTTTCTGACTGCATTTGCTATTTGTTTCCTAGATGTCTCGTGCCTTTATTGTTGCATTGGTCCATCTTTACTGCCTTCTTTTGTGTTAAGCAAATACTTTTCATGTACCATTTAATCATTTTTAGTTATTTTCTTAGCGGTTGCTCAAGTGATTACCATATACAACTCAATCACAATCTATGTCAGGTTAATATTAATTTAATTTCAGTAAAAGATAGCAACTTTGCTTCAAAAGAGCTCTATTTCTTCCTCGTCCTTTCTTCTATCTTTGTCATATGTATTACATCTACATATATTATAAGCCAGTGGTATATATAGTGGTATAGTCATTGCTTTAAATAATCTTGATGGTTTTTAAAAAGAAATTAAAAGAAGAAAACACAAAAAATAAATGTGTGTAGTCTTCTCTGTTCTCCATTTCCAGTACTCTTCACTTCTTTCTGTGGATCGGAGTTACTGTCTGGTGTCATTTTCTTTCAGCCAGAAGAGCATCCTTATATATGACTTGTAAGATAGGCCTGCTAGCAATTATACTGGCTCTTGTATATCTGGGAATGTCTTTGTTTCACCTTCATTGTTGAAGGGTGGTTGATTGGATATAGAATTGTTGATTGACAGTCATTCCACGGTGTTCTGTTGACTTGAAAAGTCAGCCATTAATTGGACGGTCATTTCTCTACATATAATAAATCCCTTTTCTCTTGCTGCTTTCAGCAGTTTGATTTTTGATGTATCTAGACTTGGGGTTTATTTATCAGACTTGGGGTTTTTTTAGTTTCTTGGATTGGTAAATTTATGTTTTTCCTCAGATTTGAGGCTTTTTGGCCATTGTTTTGTTTTGTTTTTTTCTTCCACTTTCTCTCTCTCCTCTCCTTCTGGGACTCCCATTATATGTGTGTGTGTGTGTGTGTATGTGTGTATGTGTATGTGTGTGTTGCTATACTTGATTTTGTCCCCATGAGTCTACAAGGCTGTTCATTTTTCTTCTATCTTTTTTCCCTGTTTTTCAGATTGGATAATTTCATTGCTCTATCTTCAAATGCACTGATTCTTTTTTTCTTCTGCTGCCTCACATCTGCTTTGGGCCCATCTAGTGATTTTTTTCATTTTGTTTATTGTACTTTTCAACTCTAGACTTTCCATTTGGTGCACCTTTAAAGTTTCTATTTCTCTATTGAGAGTCCCTTTTTAAGTCATTGTCATCATATTTTCCTTCAATTCTTTGAACATAGTTTCCTTTCATTCTTCAAACATTTATGATAGTTGTTTGGTTTTTTTTTTTTCTCTCAGTCACAGCGTTGATAGTTGTTTTAAAGTCCTGTCTGCCTAATCGCTCTGGGTCCACTCAGGTCAGTTTCTGTTGATTGTTTTGAGTTATTTTTTTCCTCCTAAATATGGATTACATTTTCCTATTTCTTTTCATGCCCAACTTTTTTTTTTTTTTTTTTAAGATGGAGTCTCACTCTGTCATCCAGGCTGGAGTGTAGTGGCATCATCTTGGCTCACTGAAGCCTCTGCCTCTTGGGTTCAAGTGGTTCTCCTGCCTCAGCCTCCTGAGTAGCTGGGATTACAGGCATGTGCCATCACGCCCTGATAATTTTGCATTTTTAGTAGAGATGGGGTTTTTCCATGTTGGTCAGGCTGGTCTCAAACTCCTGAACTCAGGTGATCTGCCCGCCTTGGCCTCCCAAACTGCTGGGATTATAGGCGTGAGCCACCATGCCTGGAGTTTTTGTTTTGTTTTGTTTTTGGTTTCACTCTTGTTGCCCAGGCTGCAGTGCAATGGCACAATCTCAGCTCACTGCAACCTCTACCTCCTGGGTTCAAGTTATTCTCCTGCCTTGGCCTCCCAAAGTGCTGGGATTACAGGCGTGAGCCACCGTGCCCAGCTTTTTTTTTTGAGATGAAGTCTAGCTTTATTACCCAGGCTGGAGTGCAATAGCATGATCTTGGCTCACTGCAACCTCCGCCTCCTGGGTTCAAGTGATTCTCCTGCCTCAGCCTCCCAAGTAGCTGGAGTTACAGGCACCCGCCACCATGCCCAGCTAATTTTTGTATTTTTAGTAGAGATGGGGTCTTGCCATGTTGGTCAGCCTAGTCTTGAACTCCTGACCTCCAGTGATCCACCCACCTTGGCTTCCCAAAGTGCTAGGATTACAGATGTGAGCCACCGTGCCCAGCCCCACCGTCTAGACTTTCTTAGAAATGCAGAGATGTTGAGTGGGCGCGGTAGCTCATGCCTATAATCCTAGCACTTTGGGAGGCCGAGGTGGGCGGATCACCTGAGGTCAGGAGTTTGCAATCAGACTGGCTAACATAGTGAAACCCATCTCTACTAAAAATTATGCACACGTATGTTTATTGTGGCACTATTCACAATAGCAAAGACTTGGAATCAGCCCAAATGTCCATCAGTGACAGACTGGATTAAGAAAATGTGGCACATATACGCCATGGAATACTATGTAGCCATAAAAAAGGATGAGTTCGTGTCCTTTGTAGGGACATGGATGCAGCTGGAAACCATCATTCTCAGTAAACTATCGCAAGAACAGAAAACCAAACACTGTGTGTTCTCACTCATAGGTGGGAATTGAACAGTGAGATCACTTGGACACAGGAAGGGGAACATCACACACCATGGCCTATTGTGGGGAGGGGGGAGGAGGGAAGGATAGCATTAGGAGATATACCCAATGTAAATGATGAGTTAATGGGTACAGCACACCAACATGGCACATGTATACATATGTAACAAACCTGCATGTTGTGCACATGTACCCTAAAACTTGAAGTATAATTAAAAAAAAAAAAAAATAGCTGGGAGTGGTGGCAGGCACCTGTAATCCCAGCTACTTGAGAGGCTGAAGCAGGAGAGTCGTTTGAACCTGGGAGGCGGAGGTTGCAGTAAGCTGAGATCATGCCACTGTACTCCAACCTGGGCGATAAGAGTGAAACTTTGTCTCAAAAAAAAAAAAAAAGGTAATGCAGAGGTGTTGCCTTTGTCTGATTGGGTTGCAGGTTTCCCCTTGCCCTTCGAACAATTTGTGTCTATGCAACCTCTCTGGGATTCCAGCTCTTATAAGTCAGCTTGTCCATGTTAACTAAGGTCTGGAGATTGACAGCACAGAAGGAGCACAGTGATCTTCCATCCAGTCAATGTTTCCAAGAACTGTGAGCTCAGGAAAAGATGGAGAGTGATAATGAAGAAGACTGTTCAACTAGACTTTGCAGACACACGTGGGTAGTTTCTGCTTACCTCAACGAAGGCTGCCAGTACAGCCAAACCATCAGGCTCATCTTGGGCTATCTCATAGCTCTTGTATTTAGAATTGTAGTGAACAACGTGAATCTGTAAGAGCAAGGTAGGGTGGGTCAAGGGCAGTTCATAGAAATTTGGATGCTTAAGATTTCCAGGGAAGAAGGAAGAGAAAGGAAGGTGCTCCATCTGAGGCCTCAGACTGCTCCACACAAGCAACTTGGACCTCCATCTCCCTCCATCTGGGCTGCAAATCCCATGAATCAAGAGCAGAAATTTCCCAAAGAATGGAAAGAACAAGAGTGGGATTCTGGAAGATGGCAGTTTCAGGCCATTTCCCAACCACACCTCCCTCCAGGCAGACAAGCTGGCAGAGTCTGAAGGGGTCACATGAGGACATAGGGTTCTCCTGGGGTGTCTGGGGGCTTTGCGGGGAGAGTGAGCTTGTGCCCCTTGTCCCAGGCAACCACTGTTAACGTGTAGTCATCCTATGGATGGATTCTGGCAAAAGAGGGAACTCAGAAAATCTAACACAATCCAGGCACAATGGCTCATGCCTGTAATCCCAGCACTTTGGGAGGCTGAGGCGGGTGGAACACTTGAGGTCAGGAGTTTGAGACCAGCTTGGCCAACATGGCGAAACCCCGTCTCTACTAAAAATACAAAAATTAGCCGGCCATGGTGGCAGGTGCCTGTAATCCCGGCTTTTCGGGTGGCTGAGGCAGGAGAATCATTCGAACCCAGGGGACAGAGGTTGCAGTGAGCCAAGATCACACCACTTCACTCCAGCCTGGGCAAAAGAGCAAAACTCCGTTTCAAAAAACAAAAAAAGAAAATCAAACACATAAAAATCCGGCTGAAACAAAGGAGGGCTTGCCACACCCTGTGGGCTGTGAAGTCCTGCCCACCTGAGTCCTGAAGGGCAGGACCTTGCCTGAACCCCTGTCACAAAGTGGTGATCCATCAACCGTTGCTGAGTGAATAAAAAATAAACTCAACTTCAGAATAACTTAACTGCTACCTTTGCACAAAGTCTTTTGGCTGTTTTTGTTTGTTTTGTCACTCAGACTGGAGTGCAGCGGCATGATCAGGACTCACTGCAGCCTCAACCTCCTGGCCTCAAGCCATCCTCCCACCTCAGCCTCCTCAGAAGCTGGAACTATAGGTGTGCGCCACCACTCCTGGCTAATTTTTTTTTTTTTTTTTAGTCACAGGATCTTGCTACGTTGCCCAGGCTGATCTAGAACTCTTGGGCTCAAGCAATTCCCCTGCCTTGGCCTCCCAAAGTGCTGGAATTACAGGTGTGAGCCAGTGCACCCAGCCTTGGCTATTTTAATAAGAAAAATGACGGCCGGCACTGTGGCTCACGCCTATAATCCCAGCGCTTTGGGAGGCCAAAGCCGGTGGATCATCTGAGGTCAGGAGTTCGAGACCAGCCTAACCAACATGGTGAAACTCCATCTCCACTAAAAATACAAAACTTAGTCGGGCATGGTGGTGGGTGCCTGTAATCCCATTTACTCAAGGGACTGAGGCAGGAGAATTGCTTGAACCCAGAAGGTGGAGGTTGCAGTGAGCTGAGATCATGCCACTGCACTCCAGCCGGGGCAACAGAGCGAAGACTCTGTCTCAAAATAAATAAATAAAAAGGAAACTGACTACAGGGTTTGAAGGAAAGAGGACGCAGTGGGGGTCCTCAGGTACCTCGATCACATGTCTGATCCCGTCCACGGTGTGCTCAGAGCCCCTGATCTTCGAGGACGCTCCTCCCCAGTGAAAGTGCATCTGCTGGGCTATGTACACAGTGCCGTCGGCTGCTGTCATGCGCATGGTGGAGGGCAGGCTGATCTGCACTGGAGAGAAAAGGTGGGGCTGAGAGCAGAGTAGGTGAACACAAAGGGGTCAGACCTACAGGCTGGGTAGCTTCTCTGCTCACCTCCCACCTGTCTGAGCCTAGGGCAAGTCAATACCATAGACTGGCTTAGCATGCCATGAGCAGGGTCACCAAAGGAGAAGAGGTGTTTGCACACAGGGCACAGGGTGAGGTCAGGATGGAGGCCAGGCACTGAGTAAACCAGGCTGGGCAAGTGCCTCTCCCCAGCACACACCTTCCCACTCAGAACCAACAGGCCAAAGGCAGGACCACATAGTGGCAGGTCCAGCTTGCTGGCCCCAGGGAGAGGGAAGGTCCTGAAAACTTACGGTCAATGGGCATGGAAACTAGAATTCTACTCTCTATCTCTGGCCGATTTTGGAATTTGCTGAAGGTATAAGAATAGGAAATGGGGTCTCTTAGAACTGTTTTCTTTTCTTTTCTTTTTTTTTTTTTCAGGCTCACTCTGCTGCTTAGGCTGGAGTGCAGTGACACGATCATGACTTACTGGAGCAACTCACTGCAGCCTCCAACTCCTGGCTTCAAGGGATCCTCCCACCTCAGCCTCCCGAGTAGCTGAGACTACAGGTGCCCGCCACCACGCCTGGCTCATTTTTGTATTTTTAGTAGAGATGGGGTTTCACCATATTGGTTAGGCTGGTCTCGAATTCCTGACCTCAAGTGATCCACCTGCCTCAGCCTCCCAAAGTGTTGGGATTCCAGGCATGAGCCACCACACCCAGCTGAAATCTCTGTCTTTTGGAATGAACTACACAAAAAGGAAAAATGGACTCAGTTACTAAGAAAAGTGACTAAGAAAAATACCTATGAGGATAGAACTTGGGCGTTGGAAAGGGCCAGGCAGCATGTGTCTCAAGAGCAAGATCTTCCCATTTATTTATTTATTTATTTATTTATTTAGAGACAGAATCTTACTCTGTCACCCAGACTGGAGTGCAGTGGCATGATCTAGGCTCACTGCAACCTCTGCCTCCTGGGTTCAAGCGATTCTCCTGCCTCAGACTCCCCAGTAGCTGAAATTACAGGAATATGCCACCATGCCCGGCCAATTTTTGTATTTTTAGTAGAGACGGGGTTTCACCATGTTGGCCAGGCTGACCTCAAATGATCCAGCCTCCTCAGCCCCCCAAAGTGCTGGGATTATAGGCATGAGCCACCACGCCCGGCAAGATCTTCCTATTTAAAGTCATCAGTGGTGGCTGTAAACAAGAACATTTTCTTAAAAGACAGCAAATATGAGGTATTTAAAACCCGTCAGATGCCCCCCTTCTTCCTTTCCAAATTGTCTAAAGGAGCAGGGAGCTATGATTAAATTCATAACGTAATGTGCTGTAACGCAGTAATCTGGCCTGAAAGGTTTTCACCGGCCGTTTGGCAGAACAAGTGCTTGGTATTTAGAGCTTGAGATGTGGCTGGCCTCAAAAATCAATGCTTGCAAGAAAAGGAGGCATGCAAGGTCAGCGATGCTAAAAGCGGATGGGAGCTGAGGAACTGAGGACCTGAGCAGAGCTCCTTAAATGGACAGTCAGCACCACAGAAGAAATGAGAGAGGTCCTCACAATTTCCCCAAAACACAGCCCCCGGGAGACAGAATGTGTTACTTCTGGTTACACTGACAGGCCCACACAGGCCCAATTGGAAAAGAGCCACAAACCTGAGCCTGTTGCTGTGCTTTTTTTTTTTTTTCAGACGGAGTTTGCTCTTGTCGCCCAGGCTGGAGTGCAACGGTGCAATTTCAGCTCACCGCTTCCTGGGTTCAAGCGATTCTCCTGCCTCAGTCTCCCCAGTAGCTGGAATTACAGGCACCCGCCACCATGCCTGGCTACTTTTTGTATTTTTAGTGTAGACAGGTTTCCACCATGTTGGCCAGGCTGGTCTTGAATTCCTGACCTCAGGTGATCCACCCACCTCGGCCTCCCAAAGTGCTGGAATTATAGGCGTGAGCCACCGCACCGGGCCATCACTGTGCTTTTGAAAAGGCAAGGCCAAAAGTTAACTGGCTGTTCCCAAAAGTCAACTGGCTGAAACTTCCAGATCTGCAAATCAACTCAACTTCCAGAAGAGGCTGCTCCACTTTATGGGAACCCAATGTAACCAGTTTCTTATCAGAAGAGAAAAGCCACATAATCCAAGAATTTGCTGTGCTCAAGAAACAATCAGCAAACTGTCAAGGTCATGGAAGTCAAAGACTGAGAAACTGACTGAGATTGGAAGAGACTTAAAGAGACCTGACAGCGAAGTACAATGTGGAATCCTGGGTTAGACCCTGGACCAGAAAAATATAGGCGTGAGAAAGTCATGTCATTCAAATGAGGTCTGGAGTTAACTGTGTTATATCATTTAAATTCAATAATAATTGTACCATGGTGGCCAGGCATGGTGGCTCACACCTGTAATCCCAGCACTTTGGGAGGCCGAGGTGGGCAGATCACCTGAGGTTGGGGGTTTGAGACCAGCCTGACCAACATGGAGAAACCCTGTCTCTACTAAAAAAAAAAAAAAAAAAAAAAAAAAATAGCCAGGCATGGTGGTGCATGCCTGTAATCCCAGCTACTCAGGAGGCTGAGGCAGTAGAATTGCTTGAACCTGGGAGGCAGAGGTTGCAGTGAGACAAGATTGTGCCACTGCACTCCAGCCTGGGCAACAGAATGAGACTCCATCTCCAAAATAATAATAATAATAATTGTACTATGGTTATAAGATATTAGTGTTAGGGGAAGTGGGCAAAGAGCATGTGGGAAATCTCTGTACTACTTTTGAAATTTTTCTAGTGAAAAGCTATTTCACTAGAAGTTGAGGCCGGGCACAGTGGCTCACACCTGTAATCCCAGCACTTTGGGAGGTCAAGGAGGGCAGATCACTTGAGGTCTAGAGTTCAAGTCCAGCCTGGCCAACATGGAGAAACCCCATCTCTACTAAAAATACAAAAATTAGTCGGGCATGGTGGTGCAAACCTGTAATCCCAGCTACCCGGGAGGCTGAGGCAGGAGAATCGCTTGAACCCGGGAGGCAGAGCTTACAGTGAGCCAAGATCACAGCCACTGCACTCCAACCAGGGCAACAGAGTGAGACTACATCTCAAAAATAAATAAATAAAATTGAAAAAGAGAAAGGAACAACCAGCCTCCTGCCTCCCCGTGGAGCATTAAAAAATCAAAACCTGTGTAGAATTCTGTGTCACTCATGGGCGCCTGTTTGAGGACTTATCCTTTTATGTTCAGGTCTTTTCTGCTCAAATGCACCATTCAGTGAACATTTTGAATTTGCTCTGTCAGGATCTGTGGGAAGTACCGTGATGAAAAAGATGAATACACGATTATCCGTATCTTCAAGGAACTTCATAAAAGAAGTAGCCAATAGCAATTATTAAGAAAATAGTATATATTAAGAAAACACTGAACACTAGAGGCCCAGTACCTCAGGCATTTAAGCTTTTCTGGAGCCGATCAAATGTATTTTGGAAAATTTTAATATATATTTTGTTGTTGTTGAGACAGGGTCTTACTCTGTCACCCAGGCTGGAGTGCAGTGGCGTGACCTCAGCTCACCGCAGCCTCTACCTCCCAGGCTCAAACAATCCTCCTGCCTCAGCCCTTCAAGTAGATAGGACTACAGGCACACACCACCATGTCCAGCTAATTTTTAAGTTTATTTGTAAAGACAGAATTTCACCATGTTGCCCAGGCTGGTCTCAAACTCCTGGGCTCAAGCAATCTGCCTGCCTTGGCCTCTCAAAGTGCTGGGATTATAGGAGAGCCACTGCACCTGGGCAATATGTATTAATGGATTAGTACTGGCCCACCAACTGTTACTAGTCTACAGCAAAACAGATCAATTGGGAGTTAGTTTTAGAAATTTGGTAGCAATTGGTGTGTCTCAACAGCCTGTGTTTCAATTTGAATTTCTCTTTATTGAAATGTTGAATCCAATTTAAATTTAATTTTAAAATGAGGAGGCCAGGCCTAGCAGCTCATGCCTGTAATCCTAGTAATTTGAGAGGCCAAGGCAGGCAGAGCACCTGAGGTCAAGTGTTCAAGACCAGCCTAGCCAACATGGAGAAACCTCGTCTCTACTAAAAATACAAAAATTGCCCAAAAATATGAACAAAATCTATATACAGAAAATCATAAAACTAATGAAATAAATCAGGAAGAACTAAATAAGTGGAGAAATATTCCATATTCACAGATAGGAAGACTTAATACTATTTCAACGTCCATTCTTTCCAACTTGGTCTATATGGTACCAAAAAGGGGTCCCGATCCAGACCCCAAGAGAGAGTTCTTGGATCTCACACAAGAAAGAATGTGGGGTGAGTCTACAGAATAAAGTGAAAGCAAGTTTATTAAGAAAGTAAAGGAATAGGCCAAGCGTGGTGGCTTATGCCTGTAATCCCAGCACTTTGGGAGGCCGAGGCAGGTAGATCACTCGAGGTCAGGAGTTCAAGACCAGCCTGGCCTACATGGCGAAACCTCATCTCTACTAAAACTTAACGGCGGCATGATGGTGCGCGCCTGTAATCCCAGCTACTTGAGAGGCTGAGGCACGAGAATCACTTGAACCGGAGGCAGAGGTTGCAGGGAGCCAAGATAGCACCACTGTATTCCAGCCTCAGAGCAAGATTCTGTCTCCAAAAAAAAAAAAAAAAAGGAAGTAGTGGAATAAAAAATGGCTGCTCCGAAGGCAGAGCAGCCCCAAGGGCAGCTGGTTGCCCATTTTTATGGTTATGTCTTAATTATATGCTAAACAAGGGGTGGATTATTCATGCCTCCCCTTTTTAGACCATATAGGGTAACTTCCTGACATTGCCATGTCATCTGTAAACTGTCATGGTGCTAGTTGGAGTGTAGCAGTGAGGACAACCAGAGATCATTCTCGTGGCCATCTTGATTTTGGTAGGATTTGTCAGGCTTCTTTATTGCAACCTGTTTTATCAGCAAGATTTGTGACCTGTGTCTTGTGCCAACTTCCTCTTTCATCCTGTGCCTTAGAATGCCTTAACCTTCTGGGAGTGCAGTCCAGTAAGTCTCAGCCTTATTTTACGCACCCCTGTAAAAGATGGGTCACTCTGATTCAAACGCCTCTGACATTACTATACAATCAAGCAAGCTCTTGGTATTTACCCACATGAATTGAAAACACACAAACCTGCACATGGAATTGATTGACTGATTGATTGAGAGAAGGTCTCGCTGTCACCCAGGCTGGAGTGCAGTGGTGCAATCATAGCTCACTGCAGCCTTGACCTCCCAGGCTCAAGTGAGCCTCGCACCTCAATCTACTAAGTAACTAGGACTGTATGTTTGAGCCACCATGCCAGGCTAATTTTTTGATTACTTTCGTAGGTCTCACTACATTGCCTAGGCTGGTCTCGAATTCCTGGGCTCAAGTGATGCTCCCACCTTAGCCTCTCAAAGTGCTAGGGTTAGAGGCATGAGCCACCATGCCTGGCCTGCACACAGGTTTTATAACAGCTTTATTCATAACTGCCAAAACTGAGAAGCAACCCAGATGTCTTTAGATAGGGGAATGGATAAACTGTGGTTCATCCAGGCAATAGAATATTCAGCACTAAAAAGAAATGAGCTATCAAGCCGTGAAAAGACATGGAGGAACCTTAAATGCATATTACTCAGTGAAAGAAGCCAATGTGAAAAGGCTACATGTTGTATGATTCCAACTATGTGACATTTTGGAAAAAGAAAAACTATAGGTCAAATAAAAAGATCAGTGATTGCCAGGGTTTAGGAAGGAAGGGACAGATGAACAGGTGGACCACAGGGTTTTCATGACACTGAAATGATTGCTCGATACATGTGATTAGAAACCTGTCAAAACCTGACTAGGCATGATGGCTCATGCCTGTAATCCCAGCACTTTGGGAGGTGGATCACTTGAGGTCAGGAGTTCAAGACCAGCCTGGCCAACATGGTGAAACCCCATCTGTACTAGAAATGCAAAAATTAGCCAGGCGTGGTGGCACGTGCCTGTAATCCCAGCTACTGGGAAGGCTGAGGCAGGGGAATCAATTGAACCAGGGAGGCAGAGGTTGCAGTGAGCCGAGGTCGTGCCACCCCACTCCAGCCTGGGCGATAGGGCAAGATTTTGTCTCAAATAAAAGAATCTTGCAAAACCAAAAGTCAACAAATCTTTAATACATCACATCAACTTTATTGTTAAGCTTAGTATTCATCAAAATCTCATTAGAATCAAAGTTTGTAGATTATTTTTTTTCCCCTTCAGTAGAATTCCTGAATGTGCTTGGAGCTTGCCGAAAAGTAGCCAGTGGCAATAGCCAAATAACTTCAAAAGCTAAATTATAAAAATCTTTCAAAATACTTTATATCAGGCCAGGTGCAGTGGCTCACGCCTGTAATCTCAACACTTTGAGAGGCCAAGGTTGGTGGATCACTTGAGGCCAGGAGTTCAAGACCAGCCTGGCGAACATACTGAAACCCCATCTCTACAAAAAATACAAAAATTAGCTGGGAGTGGTGGCACACACCTGTAATCCCAGCTACTCAGGAGGCTGAGGCATGAGAATTGCTTGACCCTAGGATGCAGAGGTTGCAGTGAGCCAAGATCATGCCACTGCATTCCAGCCTGGGTGACAGATCCATCTCAAAAAAAAACCCTTTACATCAAAAAATAGAATTATGGCCAGTCACGGTGGCTCATGCCTATAATTCTAGCACTTTGGGAGGTTGAGATGGGTGGATCACTTGAGGCAAGGAGTTCGAGACCAGCCTGGCCAATATGACAAAACCCCATCTCTACTAAAAATACAAAAATTAGGTGGGCATGGTGGCACACGCCTGTAGTCCCAGCTACTGGGGAGGCTGAGGCAGGAGAATCACTTGAATCTGGGAAGTGGAGGTTTCAGTGAGCCAAGATTGCACCACTGCATTCCAGCTGGGGCGACAGAGCAAGACACCGTCTCAAAAGAAAATTTTAAAAATATATATATATAATTAATGTGAACTTTGGGTCCACTCTAATGTCCGGCATGCTGTCGTGTGAGGTGAGAACCCCAAAGGAACAGGCTTCCAGACCACAGAAATTTGAGCACAGCCCCAAAGGAAGAAAGGACAGGGTCCTCTGGAAACTGGGAGGAGCGAGCCACTGCAAGCCCCTTGGGAAACTGGGCTCTTCTCTTCCTTATGCCTTCCCTCTCCTGGGCCCTCAGCACGAACCCCGCACTCAGCAGGGGCTGCCCACGGAGATCCCTCCATCACTGATTTCTTCCCGCCCGCTGTCCAGGGAGGGTGAACAAAGCCACTGCCTTTGGCCTTTGTGCTTCACCCGTTCTCCACAAGGAGAGGACAAGGAGAGGAGGAAGAGTTCAGCCTGCCAATCTGGAAGCGTCAGAGAGTAATTTTGGAAACAAGAGCTTGATGTTATGATGAAAATGAGGCTTTTGTTCATTCTTTGTGTATTTCAGGGCTCTTGGCCACATAAACCTGAGTCCTTTTACAGACAAAGCTTCATTCTCCAATTTGCAACTTTCACCAGTCCTATAAAGGACAATTGGTTTTCTTTCCTTTTTTCTTTTTTTTTTCTGAGATGGAGTTTTGCTCTTGTTGCCCAGGCTGGAGTGCAATGGCATGATCTTGGCTCACTGCAACCTCCACCTCCTGGGTTCAAGCAATTCTCCTGCCTCAGCCTTCCGAGTAGCTGGGATTACAGGCACAGGCCACCATGCCCAACCAATTTTGGTATTTTTAGTAGAGACAAGGTTTCACCATGTTGGCCAGGCTAGTCTCGAACTCCTGACCTCAGGTGATCTGCCCACCTCGGGCTCCCAAAGTCCTGAGATTACAGGTATGAGCCACCTCACTAGGCCAGTTTTATTTTCTTGATTGTGCAAGATAAGAAAACTAAGTCCTGTGACCTTTCTTTTTTTAATTAATTTATTTAAAGAAACAGGGTCTTGCTCTGTTGCCCAGGTTTAAGATAAGAAAACTAAGTCCTGTGACCCTTTTGTGACCCTTTTTTTTTTTTTTTCTAAAGAAACAGAGTCTCGCTCTGTTGCCCAGGTTCAAGTGCAGTGGTGATCTCGGCTCACCACAACCTTGACCTCCCAGGCTCAGGTGATCCTCCCACCTCAGCCTCCCAAGTAGCTGGGACTACAGGCACTCACCACTACTCCTGGCTAACGTTTTGATTTTTTGTAGAGATGGAGTCTCACCAAGTTGCCCAGGCTCATCTCAAACTTTGACCTCAAGTGATCCTCCCACCTCAGCCTCGTAAAATACTGGGTTTGCAGGTGTGAGCCACCATGCCTGGGCAAGTCCAATGACTGTTGTATTGCAGTGTGGCAGGCAGGGAACTGTCTCAACCCAGGCAGGAGTGAGAGAGTGCAGTACCTAAGAAGGATGTGGCCAAGAAACCCGGCATCTGGGGGTGTGAGCCCATCTTGGCCGTCAGACACTGTGTAGCCTTGGGTGAGTCCCTCGACCTCCTGAGGCCTCAGACTTCCTGCCTAAAAAATGCCCCCTCCTGGGGTAGTCATGAGGCTCAGAGGAGTCGAGCCAACTTGGAAAATCAGGAGGATGTTCTGTACAAGTAAAGCACAGATTTCAGTTTCCAGGCCAGGCGTGGTGGCTCGTGCCTGTAATCCCAGCACTTTGGGAGGCTGAGGTGGGCAGATAACTTTGAGGTCAGGAGTTCCAGACCAGCCTGGCCAACATGGTGAAAGCCCTGTCTCTACTAAAAATACAAAAAAAAAATTAGTTGGGCATGGTGGTGGGTGCCTGTAATCCCAGTCACTCAGGAGGCTGAGGCAGGAAAATCGCTTGAACCCAGGAGGTGGAGGCTACAGTGAGCTGAGATCACGCCACTGCACTCCAGCCTGGGCAAGATAGTGACACTCTGTCTCAAAAAAAAAAAATTTAAAAATTTACAGTTTCTCATATTGGATTCCTGAAGTGGGGCATCCCCACGGCCCTGCTTTTTCTGTGTGACCTTCACCTTCTTTCTTGTAGGGAGCAGAAAACCAGAGCTTCCTTCTTAAAACTCTGAGAAACCCTGGTCCTACCTGTCAGGTGCTTTGAGCTGAATAGACTGAAATAGGAACTGTGGAAAAGCTGACCCCAGCTGATGGACAGAGAGTCCCCGTGGGAAAGGTGGCTTCAGCAGCACGGCCTGTCCTGCCTGTCACCTGCTGCGTGGGTTGGGTGAGCTCGAGTAAGAGGATAACATGGCAGGAAGGGACCAGCAGGGAGCTGAGTGGAAAGACGGATGCTGCCCTCTCTGGAAGAGCCACCAGGTTTCCGGGCCGGTCAGCCCTCCTGTTCGACCCTCATGTTCGAGGCCTCCAGTTCTGAGGCCATGCTCTGTGTCTCTGTGTAAGCCACTCCTGGCAGGGACACGTGTCACCTGCCTTCCCCTGCAGGCTGCCAGGGGCTGCCCGTGGATTGGAGCCCCTCGCCACCCCTTCCCCTTACCTGTGTGGCCGTTGTTGACCATGGGGAACTTGCCCTTCTGGGTCTCATAGCCGGTCAGCTTGAGGCCCTCCAAGGCGGGGTTGTACCGCACCTTCGTTCTCTGCAGGTTGATGGGCGACTGTCTCTGGCCCCCACAGGCGGGGTAGTGCTGTGGCCAGTGCGCTTCGTCCAGTGCTCCTTCTGAGACAGGAGAGAGACAGTTCAAGGGGCTGCCTGGCTGAGCCCACTCTGCAGGAACCTCCCGGGCCAGAGGCCAGGGCCCGCTGGGCAGGGACCCATGGGAGCACCTTCCAGAAAGCGGAAGCAGGGCCCCCAGAAGGAGGCCGAAAAGACAACGAGGTCAACTCCAAGGACTCTGGTGTTTGAGGGGCTTTGGTCCTAACCTCTAACTTTCCTGTGGCAACTGCTGGCCCTGGGAGCAAGACAGTGTTTTGAAATCAATGAAAGTCTTTTTTTTTTTTTTTTTTTTTTTTTTTTTTGAGACAGGGTCTCGCTTTGTCACCCAGACTGGAGTGCAGTGGTGTGATCTTGGCTCACTGCAACCTCTGCCTCCCAGATTCAAGAGCTTCTCCTGCCTCAGCCTCCCAAGTAGCTGAGATTACAGGCATGCATCACCACTCCTGGCTAATTTTTGTGTTTTTACTAGAGACGGGGTTTTGCCATGTTGGCCAGGCTGGTCTCTAACTCCTGACCTCAGGTGATCCACCCACCTTGGCCTCCCAAAGTGCTGGGATTACAGGCGTGAGCCACTGCGCCCGGCCTGAGAATCTTTTATACAGAACGTTTTGCTCTCCTTTGACTTATTTCCAGCTGATGAATGCATGGAGGGATCCTTGGCTGGCCATTCCTGTGCTGTTCCTGAGGCCTCTTCCTCATTTCCTCTCAAGGGCCCCATTGTCCTTCCATGCCCCCAACAGGAACACAGCCCCCACCTCCCCATGCTGCAGGAACCCCCCACCACTATTTTCTTGCTCCAGCCCCTTTTATGGATTCCCAGTATGGTAAAGACCATCTAGGTGTCTACACTTATGGATTCAGGGAAACTAGGGAAGCATCAGGTTCCAGGACAACCCAGAGTGAGTACTTTTTTAGAACTCATAAGGAGAAAGTTTATCTTTTCAGAGAGGATTGATAATCATAGGGGACAGAGTAACATAGGTGAGTCATTATCATAGGTGACTTGGCCCCCAACCAGCTGTGGAGCTTGGTGTTAGCCATGTGACATGGAGAATCTCTCCTCTGTTCCCTGTGCGGGGGTAGCTGTGTGGTGAGTACACAGCTTGTTTTAAGAAAGGTGTTTGTGACTGGGTGCGATGGCTCACGCCTGTAATCCCCACACTTTGGGAGGCTGAGGCGGGCGGATCACCTGAGGTCGGAAGTTCGAGACCACTCTGACAAACATGGAGAAACCCCGTCTCTACTAAAAATACAAAACAATCAGCCGGGCGTGGTGGCACAAGCCCTTAATCCCAGCTACCTGAGAGGCTGAGGCAGGAGAATCGCTTGAACCCAGGAGGCAGAGGTTGTAGCGAGCCGAGATCGTGCCTTTGCACTCCAGACTGGGCAACAAGAGTGAAACTCTCAAAAAAAAAAAAAAAAAAAGTGTTTGTACCGGGGCCTCTCAGCACTTTTTGGTTTGTAATCAGGCAAGAGGCCTCTAGCACAACCCCTTCTCAGAGCAAGATGCTTTGGCCCAGGCCACTGTCAATACTGGAACATCTCTCAGGTGTCCCTGAAAGTCATTTACAAAAGCTATGCTACTCTCAGGTTCTCCCAGAGTCCCTAGTAGCTTTCCAGGAAGCCACTGTCTCAGGCTGGGCAGAGCCTGGGGAGGACAAGCACTTCATTGTCCGAATTCTCTCTTCCTTCACCTCTGAACCACCTGCCTGCACTGCTTGGCCAAGTGAAGCAGAATGCCCCAGGCTTCTGAGGCACTGCCATGTGTAAGATCACTGTGCTCAGGAACACAGCGGTCGGTCAGAGCTGGCTGGACTTTCTGAACCTCCCAGGATGTCCCTAATTCCGTTGCCCTTGACTTAACAGATCATCCCGTTCATTCTGAAGGAATGCTTCTGGAGCAGCTGAGCTGGGGCGGACTCTGCAGGAAGCAGATGTTTGTCTCACTTCCTGCCTCGGCCAGTGGCCACCAGACTCCTCATGGACCCCAGTCCGTGGTCCCATACAGAAAGGAGGGGGACATGGGAAGAAGCTCTCCTCACTGCCCCTGGAAAGGGCCATTTAGTGTCCACAAACCCCACAGACACGGCCTTCTAGCTTTGGCTCACATGTGGACCAGAACCCATGCTGAATGCCAGGATTTTACATTTCACATTTTAAAAGTCTGGTTTGGGGCCTGGTGTGGTGGCTCACACCTGTAATCTCAGCACTTTGGGAGGCCAAGGTGGGCAGATCACTTGAGGTCAGAAGTTTGAGACCAGCCTGGCCAACGTGGTAAAACCCCATCTCTACTAAAAATACAAAAATTACCCAGGCATGGTGATGAGTGCCTGTAATTCCAACTACTTGGGAGGCTGAGACACGAGAATCGCTTGAACCTGGGAGGCAGAGGTTGCAGTGAGCCGAGATGGCACCACTGAACTCCAGCCTGGGCAACAAAGCAAGACTCTGTCTCAAAAAAAAAAAAAAAAAAGTCTGGTTTTGGCCGCCCACAGACCAAAGGGAACTGGGTTCTTATGTCAAGATGTTCTGGGTAAACTGCCTACCATGAAATTTCCAAGAAAGAAGGTCTCTTAAACCCCACAGCACCTTCCGTGAGGTTACCGAGAGTCTTTTCTAAGAACTTTATTTTCCACTTACACAGACCAACAAAGCAAATGTCTTTACAAAGAGAAGCAGTGAGTGTGCTTTCGAACCAGCCAGCACTGTGAGTGGAAAAAAAAAGCAAAAAGCCTGTAAATAAATCAGGAGTTTGTGAAGGGGAAAGCTATTTCCTTCTTTTCCTTATTTGAAGTTTCAGTTCAGCTTGTTCTCCATACCTTCAGAGACACTGAAAAGGTAACATCTGAAGCCACAATGAGCAGATCCCCAACAGATGGCAGGTGGGCTGCCTGGCCATCCTGGGAAATGCCCTAAAGGAGGACTCTTGGCTGGGCATGCTGGCTCACGCCTGTAATCCCAGCACTTTGGGAGGTGGGCAGATCGCCTAAGGTCAGGAGTTGGAGACCAGCCTGGGCAACATGGTGGAACCCTCTCTCTACTAAAAATACAAAAATTAGCCAGGCATGATGGCAGGTGCCTGTAATCCCAGCTACTCGGGAGGCTGAGGCAGGAGAATCACTTGAACCCGGGAGGTGGAGGTTGCAGTGAGCGGAGATCACGCTACTGTACTCAAGCCTGGCCAACAGAGTGAGACTCTGTCTAAAAAAAAAAAGAAGGGCGCTTGTCCTGTTGTAAGGGTGTGAGGGTAACTGAGGGAGCGTGCAGGGGCTAGGGGCTTACCTGAGTAGGTCCAGTCAGACCCATGCTGGGCCTGGCCACCCAGCAGGAACAGGGACAACAGAGGCACCAGGGCCCTCATGGTGCTGCACATCTGGAATGAAGACTGATTCCCGCGAAGCTCTTCTTTTAAAGGATCAGAAACTGTAAATAACAATTTACAAGTGATCCGCCCAACTGGCTAAGCCACTCGTTGCTGCACCCACTAAAACAATAACACCCTCCCTACAACAGCCCTTCTGGCTCTGTGCATTGGGCCAGGCAGCCCCAGCACCTGCCTGATCTCCTCCCACGTCAGTTTCATATCCGGTCAGTCCATGGGTCTGGTTGTTCAGTGTCAGGAGCACCTGCAGGGCCGCACAGTGCAGCCATTGTGGACAGGTGACCGCGGAAATGGGAAAAGGCCCAAGGCAGGGAGAAGCAGGATGAAGGACTTTCCTGGACAGTGGGACTTCCTATGCCCTTTCGCCTGACGTTAGAGATCTGGGGACTGCTGATGGATTACCACTGCCTGCAAACTCTGCCTGTCTCAGTCGTGGACACATGCCACCGCTGCAGACACGTGGCTGCCCTCAGCCAGGCACCCGGGGAGATGGCCTGGAATCCACGTTCGGGCATTTCATGGTCCTCTCCTTAAACCAGCGGTTGATCCCGGGTCCCAGCTCATGAGCCACGTTCCAATGCGTGCCTTTAGGCCATCCGAGCTGGTGTGGGTGTCTGCGTTTCTGAATAGATTTGTTCTGACACCTACAGGCACTTGGGCACACCTAAGTCAATCAGCCAACTGCCCTCACAGGATCCATGGATTACCTCATCCTGTGTATCTACTTGGCTAGACCGTCCCTGAAACTAGCTGAAGGAGAAACTTTTGAGTTTATGCCTGCTGACAGGCCAGCGTTTCCCATGCCCTTCCACAAGGTCAAACACAGAGGGCAGCCGGAGTTCCTGCAGGGGGGCTACCGTGCTGCCGGACACAAAGGGCTGCCCCTGCCTTCCTGTGGGGAGCTGAACCCTCTCCCGGCCTAGCTTAACTCATTATCCACTTGGTCCTGGAATGGCAAACAGCAGCAGGCCTTCACGACAAGGATGTTAGCAGTGAACCCAGGCTCTCTCGAATATTTCAAAGACTCCCCGCTGTCATTTAACAGAGAATATCAGCTGCTGCAAAGAACTTGCTGGAAACTTCAATTTCTTTTTTTTTTTTTTTTTTTTTTTGAGACGGAGTCTCGCTCTGTCACCCAGGCTGGAGTGCAGTGGCCGGATCTCAGCTCACTGCAAGCTCCACCTCACGGGTTTACGCCATTCTCCTGCCTCAGCCTCCTGAGTAGCTGGGACTACAGGCGCCCGCCACCTCGCCTGGCTAGTTTTTTTGTATTTTTTAGTAGAGACGGGATTTCACCGTATTAGCCAGAATAGTCTCGATCTCTTGACCTCGTGATCCGCCCGTCTCGGCCTCCCAAAGTGCTGGGATTACAGGCTTGAGCCACCGTGCCTGGCCGGAAACTTCAATTTCTAAAGCTCAAGAGCTGAAATAATCTCAGAGAGAGAGCAAAGCATGGTCAAGGGCAAGAATTCTGAAACTAGACAGGATCTCTGCCACCTGCTAATTGTGTGACCTTGGGCAAGTTACCCAGTGCTTTGTGCCTCAGCTTTCCTTTCTTTTTTCTTTTTTTTTTCTCTTTCTTTCTTCCTTTATCTCTTTCTTTTCTTTCTCTCTTTCTTTCTTTTTTGAGACAGGGTCTCTCTCTGTCACCCAGCCTGGAGTGCAGTGATACGATTTCAGCTCACTTCTCCTGGACTCAAGCAATCCTCCTGCCTCAGCTTCCCAAGTAGCTGGGACCAGAGTCGCATGCCACTACGCCCTGCTAATTTTTGTATTTTTTGTAGATACAGGTTTTCACCATGTTGCTCAGGCTGGCCTCAGACTCCTGGACTCAAGCGATTCTCCCACCTGGTGCTCCCAAAGTGCTGGGATTACAGGCTTGAGCCACCGCACCTGGCCGCCTCCTTTCTTTAAAAGGAGTTAGTGATAGCACCTCCTTTGTGGAAATTCATCAATAAACGTGCCTGCAGCAGTTGGAGCAGTGCCTGGTGTGTAGCAAATGGCATTAGCATCTATTCAGACCCCTCATTTTACAGGAAAAGGAAGTGACTTACCATTGCCACCCAGCTGGTTAGTGAGGGAACAGGAGGAAAAATGCTGCAATCTCCAGCTTATGGACCATTTCTTTGCAAAAATGAGAAACCCACTCACCTGTCCTTGCTAAATCAGTGACGCACACCTGCTGACTCCCAGCCCTGGGGAAAGGGCTACCTTGTAAATCACGAGACCCCACCTCTGCTGAGGAGAGCAAGACCCTTTACAAGCCCGGGCGGGACCCTTGACGTCGAACTGGCAGGAAAACACGAACTCGGTCATCTGAATTTTTTCTTGGGAATCTGAATTGGGAGACCCAGAAAGAATCAGGGAGCAGCAGACGGGCAGAGACTGAAATGTCAGGCTGTCATGGAAGCCTGGGAGGACTGGATGAGCCCAGGCGAGGGGGACTGGAGCGGGAAGGAGCTCAGAGAAAGCCTGGGCCACGGGGGAGGGGAAGACTGCCCAGAGAGGGAGGGAGGAAGGAAAGGCCCCTGGAGAGTCAGAGAGAGGAGTGCTCGGGGGAGAGCATAGTGAAATGGAGAGGGCCCACCACTCCTGGCAGCTCCCAGCCCCAGGGGTCTCACTGCCCTGCAGTGAACATTTGGGGCTGGCTTCCCAGGAAGGCCTTGGGACTTTCCTTGCCTCACACAGCTCCTTAAAACACAGTGCACATACTGCATCTGTGCGGCTGTGATGACAGCAGCCCTGCCGCAGAACTGCTGTGCAGCGTATCCACCCATCACATCTGACGCTTTGCCCTGGTTTTGCCTGTCTTTCGCTCAGGCAAGAGCCTGGGCTGGCCGGCAACCTGTTGACCTGGCTGGTGTTGAGAACTGGTGTGAAAGTGAGCGATTAAGGCAATAAGGGGGTCAGATCAGATGATGGACTCTTGGAGTAGCAACGCCATCTGCCAGCGAAGGCACATTTCTAGAGAGAAGGTCATTCACGTCCCTTCACCGTGCAGCACCCTGCCAAGGACATGCTGGACCCAGAATCGGGTATGGTAAGTAGGGTTGCCTATTTTCTGACTCCTTGTCTACTTCAACCCTGAAATTTTCCATCACCTTTGAACATGAGTCTTCTTCTTGGATTTGGGAGATACATTGTTTGTTCGGGTTTGCTTTTGTTGTTGGTGGTGGTGGTGGGTTTTTGTTTTTGTTTTTTGGGTTTTGGTTTCTTTGTTGAGACACAGTCTCACTCTGTTGCCCAGGCTGGAGTGCAGTGGTGCAATCATGGCTCACTGCAGCCTCCCAGGACTCAGGTGATCCTCCTGCCTCAGCAACCTCCCCCCACTTCGTCCTCTCCAAGTAGCTGGGACAACAGGTGCATGCCCTATGTCCGCTCTGTTTTTGTTGCTTTTATTTTTAGTGAGTCTCTCTATGCTATGAGCTTCCTTCTGCCTTCATCCAACCACATCCTTGGCCGATCAAGGTTGTTTTTTTAATTCTAAACTCCTATTTTTCTAGGGCCTATGGTTGGATTGGCTGTCCGAGATGAGTTGACAAGCGTATCATTATTACAACATAAGGTCAAAGGGAGAAAGGAGCCTTTGTTCTTCCTTGGTTCTACCACTGCCCCTTGATAAGGCCCAATGAGGCAAGGAAAAAGAAGGGGGCAGGGCGGCATGGCCAGTCCAGGTGGGCAAGAAGGCACCATCAGCCCAGGTGAGCAGGGAAGCACTGTCAGCCCAGGTGAGCAAGGACAGATGATGAACTAAATGACTAGGGAGGCACCATTAGCCCAGGCTGCACAGGACCAGCATAAAAGAATGAGTCTGGTGGGCCAGGCGCGGTGGCTCACACCTGTAATCCCAGCACTTTGGGAGGCCGAGATGGGTGAATCACTTGATGTCAGGAGTTCAAGACCAGCCTGGGCAGCATGGTGAAACCCCGTCTCTACTAAAAATACAAAAATTAGCCGGGTGTGATGGTGTGTCCCTGTAATTCCAGCTACTTAGGAGGCCGAGTCACAAGAATCACTTGAACCCGGGAGGCAGAGGTTGCAGTGAACTGAGATCGTGCCATTGCACTCCAGCCTGGACAACACAGCGACACTCTGTCTCAAAAACAACAATAAAAACAAAGAAACAAACAAACAAAAAAGAATGAGTCTGGCTACACAAGAATATGCATATTTTGGCTATAAGTAACACACAAAGGCTATTGTTCTGTTTCATGCAGGAGGGTGAGCTCACCCTGAAGAATGAGTCACTCTGAACAAGTGAGTTCTGAGGGTTACAGGCTCAATCCTTTGTAAGCACCAAAATGATTAAAACCTCTAAAATGCATGGTACATTTTAAAATAGATAAAACTGAATGTTATTAAACTTTTCTTAATGACTGAGTTCCACTAATATGAACATCAGTTATTCTCCTGCATTGTAATATATTGATGTCCGCTGGGCCTATAACATAAATATATATATATATGTGTGTGTGTGTGTATATATATATATATAATTCTCCCGGCAAGAAACGACCCCTGGTCAGGCGCGGTGGCTCACACCTGTAATCCCGGCACTTTGGGAGGCCAAGGGGGGCAGATCACCTGAGGTCAGGAGTTCGAGACCAGCCTGGCCAACGTGGTGAAACCCCGCCTCTACTAAAAATACAAAAATTCGCGGGCATATTGGCATGTGCCTGTGATTCCAGCTACTTGGGAGGCTCAGGAAGGAGACTCTGTCGTGAAAGAAAGAAAGGGAAGGAAGGAAGGAAGGAAAGAGAGGAAGGAAGGAAGGAAGGAAGGAAGGAAGGAAGGAAGGAAGGAAGGAAAGAAGAAAAGAAGGCCGTATTGTGATGTTTTTGGATTTCTTTAGCAGGTATTGAGAGGAAATGAGGTCAGGAGTTCGAGACCAGCCTGGCCAACATGGTGAAACCCCGCCTCTACTAAAAATACAAAAATTCGCCGGGCATGGTGGCATGTGCCTGTGATTCCAGCTACTTGGGAGGCTCAGGAAGGAGACTCTGTCGTGAAAGAAAGAAAGGGAAGGAAGGAAGGAAGGAAGGAAGGAAGGAAGGAAGGAAGGAGAAAA